TACTAACTGAAAATGAACTTGCAGGCCCGCAGATGGCTCTGTCAGGCGCTGGCACTTACTTATTGAGATTTTCCAGGGCAGCTGCCAGATGTTTGGAGTCAAACCGACAAGAATAGTTTAATTCATTGGCAATCTGTTGTCTCAGGATCTGCATCTGCCCAACCTGTGAGCAAGCGAGAGAAAGAACAGGTAGAACAGGTAAGCATTTCAAAGTGAGGGTAGGCGGCAAATACCAAGATGGCAATGTTTCAGGGGAGGGTCACTACACTCTACAGAAAAATTTCAGGCTGGCGTGGGCCGGTCCATGGCTCAGAGTGACATCACCTCTGATGGGGCACAAGAGACCCTTCAGGGAAAGTCTGGGTAGACTCCTGTCTGCCACCCTCAAAATATCCCCAAAGTCTAACAACTTACAAAGTATTCCATTAATGTTCAGTTGTTCATGTATTAAAGGCATCTCTTTAGAAGCTCTATTTTTGATCTTTTGGAGTGTTTCAAGTTTCGTAGCTGTGATGAGAAGCCCAACTTCCTTTATTTGTCCTAAACTGAACTCTCTCAAGTCCTAAGGATACCATTGCACTCTAATATTCTAAAATGTGGTGAATATTAGTCTCCCACACCACTCAGCTATATAGATCACATAATAACCTGGGTTAAAAAATAATCTACATAATAAAACCCACCAAGAAGGCCCCTCTAACAACGCTAACTTCTAATCCAGGGGTTCTTAAACCTTGTTTTTATATCTTGACTCCCTTTGGGAATCTGGTGAAGCATACGGACACTCTTTTAGAATAATTCTGTTATATGTACAAAATAAAACGTATAGGGTAACAATGGAAGCCCACCGTAATGAAATATAATTACCAGGCTATTAAAAGAACAGATTTGTGATAAGAGCTATGTTAACATGGGGGATAAACTGCTGTAACTTCCAAGTGGTGATGAGCACATGACGTCTGTCAGGTGATGGCAAACTATTTTGGGGTTCGGTATGAGATAGGTTTTAGCTGGCTCCCATGAACTTGTCAGCATCCTGAGTGAACAGTATCCTCTAACTTTTGGTGCCAGTAGATTTCTTATTTTCTATTCTAGAAAAAGTATTCCTAAAAGGCTAGTGATGGGGCAAGAAAGAATAGGAGGGAAGGCTGTTTTATTAATATAATGGCAGCAACAATAAGATGGAAATGAACTCATTTCCTCTGACTTGCTGGGGGCAGAGAAAAATTAAGAAAAAGAGCGTGGCCTTCTCTAAGAG